AGCGTAGGGAGCAGTTTATAGACCCTGCCCAAGGGACTGAGAGCACGTAGTCGCAGCTGCGGGCGCAGTGCACTACACTTGCCCTTAAGAAGATAGCTAGCTGGTGACCTATAAGAGGTGAACATGCTGAGCGAGGGGAGGAACTATTAACGAGGTAAGGCAATTTATCAGCAAAATAGCATACGTAAAGTAGATGTGTCTGTGAATACCCTATGATTGAGGCTGGCGAAAACACCCGCACCGGTGCGGGCCACCAACCCACAGTGCCGCCAAGGAAGCAAGAACCCTGAGTGGGGGATTTCTAAGGAAAATCGATTTCAGAACTTGAGAAGATGACTGCTATTACTGGTATTTGCTTCAAAAGAGATGCATCGAAGGTAGAAGATTTTCATAGGGCGCCCTATTTTTGGGCCAGGGAGGAGCGTAGTCGCAGCTGAAGGCGCTCTGGACTACAATGACTCTGGTTCTCTAGTACACCGCGATCTCTGCAGCAACTACGATGCTACCTGGCCCACGACTTGGGCACTCTATGAAATTCTCTCTACCATCGACGCATCGCTCATGAAACGAACACCAAACTATTGAAAAGGCAGTTCTGTTCAGAGTTATCAAAACCCAATTTCATGAAAGTCGCTCCTCGTGGTTCTTGCTTTTTCGCAAGGTAGGAAGGTGACCCGCACCGGTGCTAGCGTTGTCGCCAGCCCTAGTCTAAGAGCATTCGTAGACATATCTAGTTTATACACTCTATTTTCCTGATAAATTTAATTTGTATTTTACTAGTAAGACGTTTCCGCGCTCAAAAAGCGTCTTCACCTCTTAACCTCGTGTAGGTCACCAGCTAGCTATCATCTGAAGGTCACCAGCAAGCCCTATTGTAGTGATTGCGCACTACAACTTCCTTCCTTGCCGGACTGAACCGGCCTATCCCGAACATATGATTTCTGCTTTTTCAGTCTCTGCTCCCTTCTGAAGCTAATGTCATAAGCGCATGCGGTGCGCACCGCTCCCTTCCCCCTCGTCATGAAACGCTGCCCGCACTGCTGGGGACAAAAGCTGACGGACCCAAACCACTACGCTTCGGAAGGAGCAAGATGGCTTCGAGCCTGATGGCGCATTCGCTGGCCGCAGTGCTAAGCGCGAAACAAAGCCCGACATCGTGTTAGGTGGTAAGCGGGCTCCCACGTGGCTTGATCTTCTGGAGTACCGCGCTACTTGACGAGGTACTGGGCGTCGGCTCCTGAGCCGCGCTTGTCCATAATATAATTGACGTCATACTCCTCTGTTGGACTGAATGCCGCACCGCATATAGGGGGCCAGGCGGTATCGGTTTTCTGGGGAACCAAGTCAGGAGGGTGGGGGCGACGGGGAACTAACTTCGATGCATGGAAAGCGTTGTGGCATGCGTAAGTACGAGACAAAGCGAGGTGGTAAGCGACGGTCCGTATACGTTCAATGACTTCAAAATGTCCTCGGTAACGGGGTTCGAGCTTTGGGCAGCTAGTCGAAGCTGGTAGATGTACTCAGCCAAACCTTGTCGCCCACTGCGAACTTTACGGCTCAGCGCTTTGTGGCTGCGTAGTATTTCTGCTGCCATTTTGCTTTCAGGATGTGGCTCTGTGCTCTGTCGCAGAGCTGCCGGAAAAGCTTAGTCATCGGAGGAGTGAACGTAGGGGCTAACGTGCCTAGGATATCAAGAGTCGCAGCAGTCAGCGTTCTTGCTGATCATGACCTCGAAGGGAGAGAGCTCGGTGAATAAATGGCTTGTCGTGTTATAGGCAAGTTCCAACGCCGGAAGCAGGCACTCCCACTCGCGTTCTTCAGATTGGATGTAGGTACAAAGCATCTCCTCCAGTGCGCGGTTAACCCTTTCAGTTTGAGCGTCGCTCTGGGGAAGGTAGGACGAGGACATGGCGCATTTCATGTTAAAACGGCTACAGAGCTGTTGCCAGAGATCCCAGGGGAAACCGGAGTCTCGGTCCGATATGAGCCCCTCTGGAAAGTCGTGATAGCGAATAAGGGGGTCTGCGAGAAGCTCCACGGTGCATACTGCTGTGAAGGACTTCTTTGCAGGAACGAAATGGGCCATCTTGCTGAGGGAGTCGACCATCACAAGAATCGAGCCGTGCCCTGCCGTTAAAAGGAGAAGATTTGTGATAACGTTAAGGCTCACGTGCTCCCACCGACAAGGAGGGATGAGAAGCTGTTGAAGAAGGCTTACAGGTTTCTAGTTAAGGAACTTGGACTCTGGACAGGGAGTACATGATTCAACATACGCAGTAGTGTAGGCGCGCATTCCTGGCCAGTAGTCGTGCTTGCTCAGAGCCGTGAAGGTCTTTTCCTGGCCTCGATGGCGTGCTGTGACATGTCATCGTGTGAATGCAGAACGTATGCAAGGAACTCAGGGAATTGTGGGACACAGACTCTCCATAGTTCAGCAAATGTGCAGGTAAGGCGGCACATAGCGGAAGGTGAACTGGCGATTACGGAACTCTATCTAAATAGCGTCTCCTGGTTG